AACTCCCAGAACTCCCTAGCTGGATGGGGGATTCTGGGAGTTGAAGTCCACACATCTTCAAGTCGCCAAGGTTGAGGAACCCTGCTGTAGGGAGTCATTAGGTCACCATTGGCAAAAGGGGCCACTTTTTGACAGAAGATCAAAGATTTCAGGAAATAAAGTTGTAATTAATACTTGCAGCAGGTTCAAAGATTGGCCTTCAAATGCAGAGGGCAATCAATATATGTGGCTTGAGATGATGGAATCAGTGTATGGGAAGATATCTATCTATCTATCTATCTATCTATCTATCTATCTATCTATCTATCTATCTATCTATCTATCTATCACATTTGTCACTGTCCATCTCGTTAAAAAGCAACTCTGGGTGGTTTACAGAGAAGATAAACATACAATGTAAAAGTAGTCCTAAATAAATAAGAAATACATTCCAAGAATTGATGGTAATTGGCGAGTATTAGGCTCAGGGAGCATCATCAGGGCACCAGCCACCCCCAGGATTGGGTAAGATTCTTGTCACCCCATGCTAGCTGGCACAGCCAGGTCTTTAGTCCTTTCTGGAAAGCCAGGAGGGTAGGGGCCCGCCACATCTCTGGGGGGGAGAATATTCCAAACGGTGGGGGCAATGGCAGAAAAGACTCTCCTCCTGGCCTCACCACCCAACATTCTCTTTGCTGATGGGATCCTCAACATGCTCTCTCTGCCCGACCAGGTGGGACGGGTTGATGTGACAGAGGTAAGACGGTCCCTCGGGTAGCCTGGACCCATGCCATGTAGGGCTTTAAAGGTAATAACCAACACCTTGAATTGGACCTTTATGCTCTGAAGATGCTCTGAACCTGGAGGTACAGATTACATTTCATGTCCCATGCCCTAAATGTGCCTTCCATCAGTCGATGCCTTCCAGATGAATTGGGGATTTGAGAGCGCAACTCCTTAAAAATTGGCCAAGGCCATGTCAGCTGGTGGTTCTGGGAGTGCAGTTCCAACTCATCTGTAGGGTGGCAGCGTGGAATGAAACTATGCTAGGTAGTGCCTCTTGCAAACATCTGTCCCAAGGATATAAGAGTAGAAGTTGTTCTATGGAAGGGGCTGTTTAGTAATCTTGTTTTGAAGGCTTCAACCTGACTTTTTACTTCAATTTTCAGACCCCCATGAAGAAGACCCAAATGCTGATTGGTCAGTTTGGGGCTTCCTTTGCTAATGCCGTAAGTATCCCAAAAATGTGGTTTCAGGTTTGCTATGGATAAGTGTCACCTGTGGGGGGAAGGTCACTCTCATTCAGAGCAAACCCAACTTTCTTATCTTCATGCCTACAGAAGTCTTGGAACTCTAGTCTTTCCCAAAGTAGGGTCTTCCAAATGTGTAGGCCACAGCATCCTCCCCCTATCCTGGGGAGGATAGGAATTGTAGTCTGACACCTGGGGGGGGCATGGAGCAGGGAAGGCTGATTTACAGAATAGGGTTTATTTTGCAACAGGATTGAAAAGTCCAACCAGCATCCATTCCCCAAGAGTTATTACTGTTTTTAAGACATAAGCACTTTTTTTTCCAATCAAACCTGGGAATCTAGGTCAGGTTTTTGGAACCATGGTGCAAAGCTGTTGACAAAAACATCTTTTACTTCTTTTAAGCATGCATTTAATTAACATTAAATAGAGGCATTTAGGTTTCTCTCCATTCTTCAGTTTAATAGCTTCTGCCATCTCTCACCTTGGAAATAAACTTGGTTAACCTTTAGAGGATTCTAGGTGCCTTCAAGGTGCCCAGGTTGTATCTAGGAAGAGAAGCTTGGAAAAGTTCTTGAGTTGTGCTACTTTGGAGTAGATGGTGAGTAAAAGCGATACCCCTTCCCAACTGATTTGGCTGTTTTTAGTTTGCAGTGACCCCCCTGTGCTGTCCCAGCCGCAGCAGCATCCTGACAGGCTTGTATCCCCACAACCACTTGGTGAGGAACAATTCCTTGGAGGGGAATTGCAGCAGCCCTGCCTGGCAGAAATATCAGGAACCCTTAACCTTCCCGGTTTACCTGCAGAAGCAAGGTTATCAGACCTTCTACGCTGGCAAATATCTCAATCAGGTAGAGCAAAGTGTTTCCCTCCAAACACTCTTCCTTTAGTGATTGTACAAGTCTACCTGCTGCACTTCCACCAACACTTCTCCTTTCTTACAGTATGGGATCCCCAAAGCAGGTGGTGTTCAGCACGTCCCCATGGGATGGACCTATTGGCTAGGTCTGGTGAGTAGAACAGCACATTGTTTCTTCTAAGTTTCCCCTGGAACGGAATGCTTGAGGGAAGTCCACAGGACAGATCCACCAGGGTGGATGGCTGCACCCCACAGGTGGTGTTGGACTCCAGTTCCCATCAGCCACAGCTGGCTTGGCTGATTTTTGGATTAATGAGAGCTGGAGTTCCACCACAGCTGGGAGAGCAAGTTTGCCCCCCCTCCCCCATGGAATGCTGAGCTGTGGAAAGCTAGATTTAAGTCTCTGTTCTCAAATATAAAAGTTGCTAGAAGAACCACCCATGGGCTTGAAAAGGAAGTTAGATGTGTCTTAATACTGGGATACTTTGAGGTTGGGTAGAAACATGCTGAAAATTAGATTTAGTAGCTAGCATATAAATACAGGAAGATTCCTTCTAGGTTCAAAATGGATCTATCCAGTCCAGCATTTCTGAAATCCACAACGAGATTTTTCCCATCAATTAGACTGTAATCCCATTAAGTAAAAGCTGGAGACCAGACTTGGAATTTCTACAAGCCAAGTATGTCTCCGTGGCTAAGATGTGGCTATCACATCTCCACAGTGGTTGAAGATGGAACAAGAAAGCAAAAGTAGCTGGATTAACACATTGCACTAAGCCATAGTTTCTTAACCATGCTTTGCTGACTAAGCCACAGTTGACTCAACTCACAGAGCATGTTCAGCCATAAGCCAAGGTTCACCATCTAGGAGGACTAACTTCACAAAACAGGGGAAGCCAGATCTGTATAAATTATATCACTGCCTCCCCCCATCCACCCCCAACCTTGTCCAAAGGTGGCTTGCTCTTCCCACTGGGAACGGGTGAGATCTTGGTATATATGGTTGTCCTGTCCAATGGTTTGGGGAGCCAAGCTTTTTTTTGCGGGAGGGGGGACTTTTTGGACTTCTTCAGTGGCAATCCCAGGCTGTCAGCCCTGTCCCCTTTCCAGCTCGGCTTCCCCTCCCCAGGCCTTCTATCTCCTCTAAGGGGTCCCATCTCCGAAAGATTTTGAGGACTCTGGAGGAAAACCCAAGGCAACTTTCGCCTTTCAGGGCAAGCTGCAGCCACCCCGTAATGGGGAGGGGGCCGAGCACACCCCACCCAGCCACCCCCGTATGCAAACTTCATCAGAGGAGGAGGAGGCATTCTTTCCACTCTGCCTGGATGAGCCAACCCAGTCTGAGGGCTCACCCTTTGGCACACCCTCCCCATGTTTTGCCACGACCCACAGCTTCAGAAGCCCCACTCAATTGCTTATTTATCCTGTCTATGTTATCTAATGTTTTAACATTGGCTTTATATCCATTTGTTTTAACTTGCCATTTAATCATTTTGAGTGTAATGTAAACTGCTGTGAAGTTTTTTTTAAGAGCAAGCGATGTAAAAATACTTTAAATAAAGAGATAACCCCCCCGATGTCTAACAGGCCCATGTGCCTCCTCCCACAGGTGGGCAATTCCAAGTACTACAACTACACCCTTTCAATAAATGGGCACGAGGAGAAACACGGGGACCACTATGAAGAGGACTATCTCACAGACCTCCTCGTGAGTCATACACTTCCTCCTGGGCTTCACCTCCACGGTGGTGCTGCGTACAGGTGTCTGCAGGGTCTGCTCAAAAAAGTCAAGATGGAGCCACAACGCATAAAAAATGTCATGTGCATTGCCCATAAAAAACAGGCAGAGCTTCGGTCACATCGTGGCTGCCATCTTGACTTTTTCTTAACCGTTCCCGGCAGATATCCCTGATGCCAGATCTTCAGCTGCCCTCCTAAAGAGTTAGGCTGTTCGGGTACTGGGAGGTAAACCCTTTGCTTAGGCTCAGAGTGTTCCTGTTCTGTGTCATCAGCCAATACCAGCAAGGCCCCTTTGCCCTGGGGCCACTTCCCTCCATCCGTGAAGGAGCTAGAGTGGAGAACAAATTGCTTCCAAGTCTTTGGCATTGGCATTCCACTGGCATTGGCATTTCATTGGCATAGTTCATATTGCCTAGGTCTGGAAAAAGCCATGGAAACCACCCTATTGCTCCAGATTAAAGCATCTTCAGGAGACAATCCAATGAAGAAGAGTCTACTTCCTCTCTGGATAAATGGGTTTACTATCAAAATATTCTTATTAGGAAGTGTCTCCTAACTTTTAAGCCAGGTTTGCCATTGGGTATCTTATGACCCCTCTGTGCTCCATATTCTGGGAGGACAGAAGCTAGGTTGGAGTCTTCAGTGTCCTTGAAAGTGCTATCATTTCTCCTTTAGTGATCTTTTGGCACGGCTGAGCATACATAAGGCTTTGTCATTTGTTGTGTTTCTTTGAACTGGTTGCAGTTTCTCTGAATTTTTCGTAAAAGGTAGTGTTCAGATTTGAGGTAAGGACCAGAAGAGAGTGGAAGAATTGTATCACTTTCTCTGATTTGGACACTACAATCTCTTAATGGAACCTGAAATTCTATTCACTTTTTTTAGCAGACGCTGCTGCACTGCTGGTGACTTTCAGTTAGTGATAAGCTACGACCCTGAGATCCTGTTCACATATCCTAGCACCAGGCCAGAAATACTCAGGCTGGGGACTTATTTTACCATCGCTCTTGTTTTTTGCAATTTTGCAGTTTGTTTTCAGAATAAGAGGGTGTCAGCCTTGCAAGGTTGTCCAGATAAGAAGCACACCCAGAAGTACTAGTTCTAACTTTATTGTAAGGTTACGTGAACAGAATCTTGCAAGTCTGAAAGTACCTCTCTTCCCCCTCGCCTTTACAATCCAAGAAACTAGGGAGGGCCCCTTCTGAGACCTTTGCCATGCATAAACCCTGGTCTAGGGTGACAAAAACTCAGAAGGAATCTGGTAGCATCTTTTCAGACGAACACATTTTATCGAAAAGCAGAAGCTTTCTTTTAATCAAATGTGCTCATCTGAAAAGGTGCTCTCGGATTCCTTCTTAACATTGTTCCAGTTCATGCTACTCTTAATATTCCTGCGGTGTTCACCTAGTTCATGATCCTACGATGAAGTGAGCTGCAGCTCATGAAAGCGTATGCCTTTTTAAAAAGGTGTTGGTCTGAAAAAGTACAAGCAGATTCCTTCTGATGTCCTCTGGTGGTGGTCTCTCCGCTTACGCCCTTTCCCATCTTCCGCGACCCTCCCCAATCTTTCTGTGTGGCAGACCAACCGGAGCCTGGAGTTCCTACAGAAGCTTTCGCGCCCTCCCTTTCTCATGGTATTAGCCCCGCCTGCTGCACGCTCACCCTGGACAGTGGCTCCTCTCTACAAGTCAGCCTACGGTACCCTCAAGGCACCTCGCGATGGCAGTTTCAATGTGCATGGGAAGGTGAGCACCAAAGCATTCAAGGTGGTTCATGATCTCAGTGGCAACAAAGCAGATTAAAGCAGGACTGGAGAAGACCTTTTAAAGCAGTTTTCCAGACTGGAAACTGATTCTGTGGGTGCTCCAGATTAAGGTTTAGCAGCACAACCCTTTTTTTTTGCATTTTAAGATGGAAACTGCTTACGCTTCAGGACATCTATAGCACATTTTGCTGGTCTCTTAACAGATTTTACTCTTCTACCAATTATCTTTAAACAGGATCTTTGCAGTATCATATGAGCGTGTTCTTCTGTGTTTGTGTTTAAAATTAGTTATTTATTTTAAAAGGCATGCATGCCTTATGCCATATAAATCATGATTTGTGACCTTTTTTATGATGGCCATTAAGTGAGCCACTGTGGTCGTTAAGTGAATCATGTGTTTGTTAAGCAAATCATGTGGTCATTAAATGAATTCCAGCAAAAATGTCCATTGGGGAAGCTGGATTCACTTAATGACCACATGATTTGCTTAACAATCACAGTGATTTGCTTAACGACCATAAAATGGTCATAAAATCAGGTCTGGTCATGTGACTCACTTAATGACCGCCCTGTTTAATGACCAATTTTCTGGTTCCTATTGTGGTTATTCAGCGAGGACTACCTGTATAATTGCTTGCTTTCCCCAGTCAGTTTCGGCTATGATGGGAACTTGTCCATTTCTCCCATAGTGAACTCCCTTTTCTCCAAACGATAGAGACACTTTGGAGAGACTGTTTCCACATTTTTGTTCTCCCAAGTTCTCTTTCCCAAAGGAAGGAGTTATTTGAAGTAAACTAGTTGAGGAATCATTTCCACTCCTCTGCCTTCTTTACATTAAAAAAAAAGATAACTTTTGTGCTCTTTTGGAGTGTCCCATTCAAGTGTAGGGAAACGTTGTTCTTAAAAATGAAATAAAAACAAAAGTTCTGTAAGTGGGTTGCAGCTATACAGCCATGACTGACTTGGAAGTAGTGTTGCTATCTTCATTTCTTGTAGGGGTTTGAACACAAACTAGCTTTGAAAGTAAGGACTTGTTCTGTAGGACAGAAATGTTCCAGTAGCCAGGAATGTGTAGCAAGTCATCAAAAAAAGAGGGATCCCTAACCTATTATCCAGAGAAAATTCTTCCCAGGTTGTACATTTTCCTGTCTGTTGGCAAATTGTACCATTCTGTTACCATGACCAGCTTCTTCTGCAATTAGGTGGGGGGAAGACCTTAGCAAGTGTGGCTAGATTCTAAAAGGAAGGTGGCATCGTTCAAGCTCTTTGTAAACATTTCACAAATGACAGCCTCATTTGGAATCCCTTGGTTGCTTTTTCCAAATACAAGACCAAGTCCTAATTCATGCCAAGGTTAGCAGCCTTTAAAGTGCTCACTGCCCAATCAGCCTACAAGTAAAAATGGTTAAAATACATCTCTGGGAGCTCATGAGATGTTGGCATTCTTGCCCAAAATGTCATGAGAGTCACTTGGTGAGTGGGTGGCCATCTCAATGGAATAAATAAGTAAGGCACACACTGTATGAGAGTCAACAATCTCACAAAGATTTTACCCATTTTTTAAAAAAAATATTTTTATTTACTGATGGAGTTCTAGCATGCTATTGGAAGGTATCCCTCAGGCCCCATGTTTGCGCACCCCACTTAGATTACTATATGGGGGGTCCTTTTAGAGATCCTCCCTATCTAATATTCATCCTGGAGTCATTTGGTATCTCTGGAACTTCGGGGTCTTTCTCCTTTTATAGGACAAGCATTGGCTGATAAAACAAGCGAAGACACCAATGTCAAACAGCTCCATTGAGTTCTTGGACAACGTTTATAAAGCCCGGTAAGAAAATGTTAGTTCACCATTGCCAAAAGTGTGGGAAGGGGAGCGAGGAAGGACCCTCTGAAGCCAATTCTCTTGGACTGACTTGATGAAAGGAGCACCATCCACCCATTTCTGCAAGCCACCGTTGCTTGTTACCTGTGGTTTGTTGAATTGTCCATAATTTATTGGATTCACACGTTGTCGTAAGTCATAAACTATGGCTTACAATACCGAATGGCTTTTTATATATCCCAAGAAGCCATAAAGTGCAGTTCACAAAGCCACAGTAGTTGGGTTCCCACAAGATACAAAGCCACAAAGGAACAAACCACAGGATGGCTTAGTGCGACATGTAAACCCAATCATTAGGCAGAAAATGGTTACAGTTATTTTAGCAGAACCCATTGAGTTTTTTGACCCACCATGATGACATTCCAGTTAGCTGGCGATCAGTGTACCTGACAAGGCACATGGCCACAGAAATAATGCAGGTCATTTTTATTAATAGACTGATCAACAGGAACCATGAGGTTAAGCTCTTATCATAGAAACTCGAGGGGGCTATCAGGAAAAATGAGCACGAGGCCCACCAGTGCACACAGATGTATGATGGTTTCTCCTTTATCTGCAGGTGGCAAACTCTGTTGTCAGTAGATGATATGGTAGAGAAAGTGCTGGATCAGCTGAAGTCTCTTAATTTGCTGGACAGCACATACGTATTCTATACCTCAGATCATGGTTACCACACAGGTAAGTTGAAGCAGATGTTTTCAAGAAACCTTGTGAAGGGAGAAACAGAGAGGGAGCCGTTAAAAAAATGTCCTCAGAGAATATTGGGAGTGTGTATCCTTTCTACCAGATATCTGTGCTCTGACCATTAATATTCAAAATTAGCTTTAATAATAGACCATAACTACCACAGTTAACTATCATAACAATTAAAGCAGAAAAGCAACAGAAAATATGAAGAAGCCCTACCATCAAATCAGATGCCTCAGCAAACATTCATAGTATTTTGATTCTCTCTTCAGTTAAACGAGCCACCCAGAGGGGCTTCCAGAAGTCAGTAATAGGAGGGTCCCTGTTGGGTGGCTAATTATCATAAAAAAACAAGATTCAGAAGGAAAGGAAAGAGGCATGACAGGGAGGAGAAATAAATGTAGGCACATGTTTGGGAAGGTAATAATGTATGGCTATTAAGAGGATGGAAAAGGAGGCATAGATTGATTCCATTCCAGCTTCTGAATTGATCTGGAAAAAAATAGGTTTCTCTCCATCCCTACGTGAGTTGTTTGAACCAATTTGACAATTTGATGTCTCAGTTTGATCTGGAAATTCGCTTTGGAGATTGGATTGAATTGCCTTTGAATCAAATCTCCAAACCGAATATTTGCACCTGCTGAAGAATGTTTCTTTTTTGTAGCTGCAAATCATCCATATTGAATGATATCCCCTTTCTGTCTGTTCTTCTATCTTTGGGGGGTTTTCTCCAGGTCAATTTTCACTGCCCATTGACAAGCGGCAACTTTACGAGTTTGATATCCGGGTGCCCTTGCTGGTGCGAGGCCCAGGTATTAAAGGAAATCAAACATACCTGGTAGGTTTACTTGTTCCAGGGTAAGGGTCTCAGTTGGAGGAGCTATAATGCCACAGTGTAGCACAGGCTTTGTGGAGGGCATCTTCATTTAAAATGGGGAGATGATGAGTTATGAGTTAGATGAACATAATTTATCCCTATTGAGTTGGACAAGGGAAGGACTATTGGTGGCCTCAAAGATACTTGGAGATCAGATTGTCATCTTATGGGACGTATTTTTTTTCTTTTAATCTTTGGGTCATCTAAATCTGTAGATACAGGTAGTCCCCAGTTTAAGAACGAGTTCTGTTCTCAAGGTCTGTCCTTAAGTCAAATTTGTATATACGTAAGTCAGAACAGTATTATTGTATAATACTATATAGGTTGTATTGTGTAATGAACTTGAACCATTGTGTAATTAACTTGAATTTTACTACAATAGGCTCTGTTCTTAACTATGGGTCGTCTGTAACCCAGGCGTTCTTAACCTGGGGACTCCCTGTATTACAGCTCATTGGTAGTAGGGTTGTTGTAGATACAGCTTTTATTTCTACGCTATCTGGATTTTTTTGTATGCAAAACTTAAGTCAGGTTTTGACATTCCAAAACAGAGGCTGAAAAAGGTGCTTACTGTAAATCCAAGGAGTTAGAAAGGGAACATGTCAGGGTGGAAACTATGTTTGTATCCTTCTCCCTGATGTATTAGCTTCCTACAGATGGAAGTATTTTGTTATGCATGAAGACGAGACTTGTAGGTAGGGAACCATTGCCCTGAATTGCTTTCTGAACATCTCTTCTCTTCCTCTCAGGAACCCATCCTCAATATAGATCTGGGACCTACCTTCCTGGACATTGCAGGAATCAATGCCTCTCAGACCAGCATGGACGGTGCCTCCTTTTTGCCCCTCTTGGTAATAACCTGCCTTCAACTTTGGAATAAAGCCCAATGGAAGAATCCCATTAGAAAGCTTTTCTGAGGAACAGATCAGGTTTTTTTCAGTTTGCGGTGTCTACAAAGGAGCGCTTTGCTTGGAACCTGCATGTGGCCCTTTTATGTATTGCTGAATCACATTGCAGAATGTGAACTTGAGACTCATAGGGTGTAAGCAGACCTCTAATAAATTCATGGGGCTTAAGCAGATCTCTAATAAATTCAAATAAATGAATATATCTCTGAGGGTTCTGCATGGGGAGAGACCGCTGTGCCATTCCCATACCTTTAAATATTCTTCTGTGGCTCTGTGTTTTAAACATACAATGACTGAAAACAGTTTGGAAGAGAATAGATGTACGCATGTGCACACTCACAAACACAAACTTTCATACATGCATATAGAGATACGTACAAAAAGCAGAAACTAAACAAAAACAAAAAGAAACCTATAACTTTAGAAGATGCATTCATTACTCAAAGGAGAGATCAAACCTTTCAACCTTCATATTCTAACAGACATGGAAAGGTCTTGAGTTGGAAGAGGCCATTGAGAACTTCAAGTCCAACTCTCTGATCAATGCAGGAATTCAAATGAAAACTTTTTCCCCAGATGGGTCTCCAACATCCACTTGGAATAGATGTAGAGAAGGAGGACGCCTCACCTCTCCAGGGCATCTCTCAGAGCTGTGCTCAGTTCTTCTAGATGTTGGGCTTGAGCCCAAAGACTTAAAATCTAGGGTTGGACTACCTTGTGGTGCTCTAGGGGAAGGCAATGGCAGTTTCCTACTTTATTTATTTATTAAAGAATCTTTTAATCTTTCTCTCTCTCTCTTTTAGGTCGGGTGGGCAAGGAAGCCTCACAGGGCACCAAGGAAGGTGTCTGAAACATATTTAGAAGCCATGATGGAAAAAGAGAGAGGGTTTTCTATTCAGGCGTGCTTCTTGAAATGTATCTCCTTTCATGCAGGTGAACCAGACACAGAGGGCTGGGTGGCGGTCAGACTTCCTGGTGCAATACACTGGAGAAGGCTATGCAACCAAGGACCCTGACTGTCCGATCTTGGGACCAGGAGTGTCAGTAAGTATCCGTGTCTGCCTGTTTTTCCCATATTAGTCCATATTTCATTACAAAATGTTGATTCTGCTATCTGTATCCATGATGGAAGGTCAGAAGATATCTCCTTCATTTGCAGATATTTATTTTAGTTCTGAAAGCCACTCGCTGCTGCTTAATTTCGTCTGGGTAATTTTAGTTTGCTCAATTTTAATTTGTTTTGCATGTGAAGAAAACCCTTCTAGGGGAAAAAAAGAGGTAAGGTATAGTTCTGGATTAATAGGTAGCTGCAGTAGACCCCAACAAAGATGGGTAGGCAGTTCTCCAGTAAGCTAGGAGTTCCCCTACCCATCTAGCCAGCATGGCCGATGGCAAGGGATTATGGGACTTGTGATGCAAAGCTTCTGGGCAGTAGAAGCTAGACATTCTTAAAAAAAGACATTCCCTCTTTACAAGAGAAAAAATGCATCTTAGAAAAATCCTGCTGTGTCTGATCGAACCCCTGTCTGCTTTGTTGCTCTGTTCCCACAATGGCCAACCATGACTTAGGTGTACAGCAGTAGCTAATTCCCGTTCAGGTTCTCCAGCATCAGTTAGAGACATGTTGAAGACTTCCTTATTTTACATAGCTCAGGCCAGCTTTGTTAGCTGTGCGGAATCGTTGGAGGTATGCAAATCCTGAAGCTTTGCCTTCCCCCAGGTTGCTCATGCAAAAATGCCAATTTCTAAAGACCTTGCCAGATGTTGACTTTGCACAGAGACTAACGCTATTATTGCTGCCACAAAGCTGTCTAACATGGCTTTTATGGAACGGTTCATACATATTCAGGTTGATGTCTAGGGAGTGCAGGCAGAAATTCTGGTCCAAGAGAGAAAAAGCAATATGAAGCTGAACCCCCACATCTTCTGTGTGTGTGTGTGTGTGTGTACACAAACTTACATCCATTCAAATATTTGTGTATATACAAGACCTGTCCAGATTACTTGGGTCAGTTTTAATTTTTGGTGCCTGTAACGTCACAATGGATAAAGGTACCAAGCTAAAAAACAGGAGACTATGAGGTCTAGTCTTGCCTTAGACACAAAGCCAGCTGGGTGACTTTGGGCCAGTCCCTCTTTCTCAGCCCTAAGAAGGAGTAAATGGCAAACCAATTCTGAAAATCTTGCCAAGAAAACTGCAGGGACTAGTCCAGATACTCACCAGGAATCAACACTGACTCGAAGGCATCAAAAACCAAACCACCATCACATGAAATCACAGAATGGACCCAGTTCTTGCAAAAGGCCGCTGTCTTTTTGCAAGATTCATGTTCAACCCCCACTCAGTAGCATTTTTAAAAATTGATTTCATTCTGCTAAATGTATCAACAGAATGAAAAGTATAGATGCATGCAACAGTAATAATATACTTCAAAATTAATCATAGTAAAGGGAAAAAGGAAATTGTATATGCATCTTTAACGCGTAATGAACATTCTAGAGTCTTATTAATAATCTTGTTGACATCTATCCAAACTATGACAACAATAGGACAAGACAAAATGATATGAGTTCATTTCTAATTCCTGAGTTGCACCTTCAACCAAAAGATGACTGTCACCAACCTCTATTAAACATATTCTGAGCTATCCAAAGTAGACAAAATAATACATTTTATTGAATGACCTTGGCTTAGTCCAGTGTTGCTCAACCTCTGCAACTTTAAGCAATGCGGATTTCAACTCCCAGAATTCCCCCAGCCAGCATGCTGACTGGGGGAATTCTGGGAGTTGAAA